GATGCTGCTCACTAAACTGACTCTGCCCACCCTGGGCTGCTCCTGCTCAGAGGAACCTCCTCCAGAGGCTCCAAGTGCAGCAGCCTCCCAGGGAGCCTCCGTTTCCACCGGCCAGAGAGGACTGGAAGGAACGGGCCTCCCTGGGCAACAGGTAGGAAGCAGGAAGAGCTTCCAAAAAGCAGCAGAAATGCTACAAAAACAGCACGCTGCCTCCCACCTCGCATCACTGCACCACCACCCACCCCTCCCGGCTTATCTAAGAGAGGCTGAAGCTTTCAACAAAGAGCAGAAAATCCTCTGCCAGGGAAGGGTGAGCACGCAGAGTACAGGGGGAGCCGAGCCAGCAGCGAGCCTGCGGCCGGGGACCCCACTCGGGCAGTTCCTACACTCCCGCGCGGCAGAGGACGCTCTCTGGGCCGGTACCTAAGAGGCTGAGGCTTCTTCGGGGTGGAGGCGCCGGAGTCGGCGGGTGAGGGGAGGTCAGTCCTCGCTGAGAGATGTCCACGTCCACCAGCGACACCGTTTCACCTGGAGGTTGGTGGAGGGAGAGCGTTAGTAGCCAGGGGCAGAGGGAAAGGGGCTGTGATCTCCACAGACCATCTCATCAGCGGTTTGAAACAAGTTTCCCCGCTGCATCGCTTTGCGGACATCGATCAGGTCTGCCACCAAAGCCCAAAAATCAAGGTACATGTGCCTGAACCCCATCCGAGCCCAGCACGGAGAGGACAGGATGAGGAAGCACCATGAGATCTTCTCAGCACCGAGTCCCCTCATCGAGCGGAGCTCACAGATGATGCAAAGCTTCGTGTAACGCCCAGGAAACGTGTCTCACAGGACTCTGAGATGACCCTCCTGTGAACATCAGTCTGAGTTCACCTAGAAATGCCTTAGAGGATCCAACAGAAATACCTTTTACCCCAAAGGGCATGAGGACACCAGCCCTTAAAATAAATAAGAGGGAGCTGGACAGGCTTTTACACTTAATAAATGGAATTCGCTGAAGCCCTAAAGGCTTGGAATCCAGGATACAGCTTGGGGAATACAATGACACAAACTGAGATGTCTAACTTAAAACCAGAAAAGCTTCAAATTAGTCTAAAATCACAGGAGAGAAACAAAGCCACTGAATCAAGGTCAAAGCACCAGTCTCAGCACTGGGCTGACACAGAGTCAAAAGGAAAACATTAAAATCCCAAAGAGAGACCCCAAGTGGGTCTATCACAGCCAAGGCAAAAAAATCAAACCAGGCTCTGATGAACGACCAACCCTGAAACCCAATCACCTCCAACACCTGAACCACGGTCTCAAGGACAACAAAATCCACCCACTTTCGACTTTCGCTTTGGCGACACTTCCACGCTTGTCTCCAAAGGAAAAACTCCTACGAGGGCATTGCTGCTGTTCCACTGACTGACAAAAACCGGGATAAGTCCCGCTGAAAAGAGTCATTAGGATAAACCAAAGATTAATCAAATCAACCTCCAAAATTTAAAGCAAAAACCTGTCGACTCCAGGTTCCCCTCCGTAGTTTCTTTTGAGGAAAAGCAGCTCTGTGTGCTCACCCACGTACCCCTTTCACCAACACGCAGAACTGCAGCTTTCATACCCGCAGCTTCCCCCAGCAACAGCTGACAAAGCAGCTTTTGCTTTCAGCAGCCTTGATTTGCTAAATAAGCGCACGAAGGGAACCAGGCGAGGCGAGGGCACGTCCTCCACGAGCGGCCCCGCTACCGGGGCATCGGCTGAAAGGAACGAAGCCCGTCCGTGACTGAATCACCCCCAAGTGACTCCGCTTCTGCAAGAGCCGAACAAGCTACGAGAAACCACGGGAGTGCATTGAGCAGCTTCCAGGTACGAGTCAAACCAGCGTTCTTCCTCGAAGGTCACTGCTCTGAAATTCAAACTGGCCAAGGAAGACTTTGCCACCGCTCTCTGAAGGAAACACAAACCACACCCCAGCTCTGCTATCGAGCTCCTACCCCAGCAGCACGACGCAGCCTCAGCTCCGCCCACCGGGGGC